CTTCGCGTGATCAAACCATCCCAATAGCATGTATCCACATGAAAAGGAATCTCCTCTTTGCTCCGCTTTTTTGAGCGCATGAGCCTTTTCAAGTTTCGGGTGATTGAAGCTTTCAAATTCATGCTTTTGCAGTTTTTTTTGCTTGCATTGCAAATTGAGCAAGCTGCAAATAAAGGAAGCAAATAGGTATTTGAACCACGTGAAAATACTGAAACTGCCTTGGAATATTAGTACGAATAGGTCTGGGAGGGGAGGCGGTCATATGGCGCGATCACATTAGCATTAGAGCGCACATACCGCAATTGCCCCATCCTACTGTGGCAGGACAACTCGTCCGAATCACTCAACTATTATATTAGGCTTCAGTAATTGATCGACCTGATAATTTGGGTCTCCAATACCTCGTTGAGTCACAAATATACAAAAAGGGCGGATAGCTTCAGCTGGCCGAATGCCAAGGCTAGAGGAACGGAATAAAATGTATTGCGCGGACGAGTATAGACGCGCAGTACATTTTATTCCGTTCCTCTGGCCTTGGCATTAGGCCATCTGAAGCTGTTCGCTCTTTTTGTATATTTGTGACTCAACAAGGTATCGGGGACCCAAATCACCAGGTCGATCAATTACTGAAGTCTAATAGTTTAGTGATGCGGACGAGTTGTCCCGCTACAACAGGATGTGCCAAATGCGGCCTGTGCGCTCCAATGCCAATGGGATCGCGCCATTTGACGCACACCCGGTCTGGGAGCAGGTCGGTCCTATCGTTGCTACATTTTGGATTTTTTTTACGACCCCCTCCTCCATGGGCGATTTGGTACGACCCCCCTGTGTCTAATTTTTATGAAGACACAATTCATACCAATTTTTTATTCCTTTTATCTCTATCATAAGGTTTCTTTTCACCCTGGAAAAGTATAAAATAATAGAACATTTCAAACTTCACGAGATCAGGACTAAACAAAATGCGCAGGCTTAGTCCCAGAGACGTTTCTACAGAGTGTCCCCCCCCCAGCCACATTGTGCCCAAAATCCTACTGGTGAGTTTTCATAGGAGATTCAGAGTACGTCATTAAGCATTCTCCGCTGGAGAAAACGGGTGGGTTGTGGCGTCATATTATGGAGAAGTGGGGGAAATGATTGAGAATGCCGAGAAGGTAGTGGAAACGCGTGTTGACAGGTTTCGAATGTATTGAATCGCGCGCTGGGTGCTGCAATGGGGCGCGTTTGTTGAATGGGAGCAGGTGTCGAAATGGGAAATCGAGAAGTATAGGAACTTTTCCTTGGAAAATTTCAGGTTTCTCGCAAGACGGAGGTGGATTTCTGGATCACCGCAAGGGTCATCCTTCTCAAGTGGAGCGGATTTGTTCTTAAACAATCTGAAATAATTAAGTTATTGAGCAGGAAATGAGTTTGCACTACAATTTCACCTTCCTCTTTTTCGGGCTATAACTTTCTTCATATTCGATCTTTTTGTGTTATATAAAAAATTCAAATCATTCTCTCTCTCCAATCATATCTGAAAATTCATCGAAAGCTAATTTAGTAAAAATTTAACACGTTGGAACTTTTTTCTGTGCAAACGCGACTTTTCAACCTTTAAACGATCATAACTTCCTTCAAAGTCATTTATTTGGGAAGCTGAACCCGGTATGAAACTACAGGATTCAAGCTTTCTAAAAAGTACCCAAGCGTTCTTGAAAAGTCAGTAATTCAAAAATTAGTCCCGTTGCTACATTTTTGGGGGTTCGCGGAACTATTTTTCTGAAACCGCGACTTTTCAACCTTCAAACGACCATAACTTCCTTCAAACTCATTTATTTGGGAAGCTGAACACGGTATGAGAAACTACAGGATTCAAGCTTTCTAAAAAGTACCCAAACGTTCTTAAAAGTCAGTAGTTCAAAATTAGTCCGTTGCTACATTTTTTGAGGGGCATTCTCCAAGCCATTCTCTTAAGAAAGCGGTTTTTTTAGGTTTCACTGGCCGCAACCTCCAGGGAAATATCGTGCTGACCATAGGATGTGTTGAACAGGGTCAACCGTCCGTTCGAACTGTTCGAACGAAGGGGTCGCATTTTGGTCGGAAGGGGGTCGCAATTTCGAGGACTGCCAGCCACAGGCGCGTGCGTGGCGTATCCGAGGGCAAGAATTGTTTGTGCAGACCGCATTAGATTCGATTAATTATGCACAGAGAGACAGTTTTAGGCAAATTACGGTGTTTTCCTTGAGGAATAGAGAACAGTTGAATGCATCCCTATGAAAGGTTTGACTTCTCGGGCTGAAATTGAACTTCTTCGGGAACCTACTTTTCTACGGACGGTTCTTCCACAAAATCGTGAAACACATAAGAAAGAAGAAACCTCGCGGTCTTCAAAAATGTCTTCGCCTCTTTCCAACATGCTCTTTGAAGGAAGTTATTATTGCTGAAAGCTCGAAACCTCGCATGTGCTGCTCAAAAACCTATGGGATCCAAATGTTCGAACGTGGGATTTTCTCGAAAAATGAACTTTGAAAAATGGTTTAGGGCTTGTTAGAAAGAGCAAATTCTGCTCTTTCACCCATGGAAAGAGGGAAACGCAGCAATCAAAATGAAGCGAGTTATGCTCGTTGAAAGCCCAAAAACTCGCGATTTCAAAGAATGTGTTCGGCAAAACCGCCCGAAATGTTCGAACGTGGGATTTTCTCGAAAAATGAACTTTGAAAAATGGTTTAGGGCTTATTAGAAAGAGCAAAACCTGCTCTTTCACCCCATGGAAAGAGGGAAACACAGCAATCAAAATGAAGTGAGTTATAGTCGCTGAAAGCTTAAAAACTCGGTTTTGCACGGGAACTGTTCGAACGGGGCAAATTTTTGAAAAAGGGGACAATCACTTAACTTTTTATAATCTTTTGTTAGAGAAATATTTGAAGTTTCTAAAACTTTTCACAAATTTCCAAGATGTCGCATACGAAAGATTTTATGAGCTCTCAAAGTTGGAGGTGCGCCTTCTCAGAATTTTGGGTTTTCCGCTTCTGACAGAAATACTTTTGGGAGAGTTAGGTCATCCTTGCAATTTTCTGTAAAGCCACCTCAGGCACAGTTTAAACCTACCTCAATAAGTGAAACAAATACGTCTCAAGAAAGTTACACTCTCCTAAAACTTTTTCTTCGCCGCGTCCCAGTTTTCCAGCGTCCGGGTGATACCTGCCGCGCTCCAAGGTTGACGCCGCAACGCAAACGCTTTCTGCGGCGGTTTCTGACGCAATCATGTCAGTCCTACTCTTCTTTAATCCTTCCTCTTTTTTCAGCTGTTTGAGCAGAAGTTCGTCAGTCTTCATGTTACTTGTTGGATATCCCTCCATTTGGTCTTACACATTTCGCTTTCATCCTCATTTTGGCGTGATTGTGAGCGAACAAAAATTTTGATCTCGCGAGGCTAACCATAAAAAATAGCTTTCATTAGCCAGTGCCCTGTGATTCTTGCTCCTTTGGGGCTCATCTTAGGAGATGCATTGATGGAGAACGTAACTCTCTTTGATTTACTCCCTTGAACTGCTCTTGTGATTCTTTCGGAAGCATGAAGTTTGAAGTTTTGGGCAACATGAAAAAAATATTGAATTTTTTTCAGAAATTCAATGATTTTTTGAAAACAATTCAATTCAAATTTCAGTGAAGATCTCAATATTCAAATGTTCTGTTCATATTTCATGGAAGTTCATTGTCCATTTGAAAACAATGAACTTACGAACTTACGAACACAACATTTGAATATTGAATTCTTTACTGAACATTTGAATTGAATTTTTTTCAAAAAATCATTGAATTTTTGAAAAAATTCAAATGATTTTTTGAAAAGAATTCAATTCAAATGCCAGTGAAGAATTCAATATTCAAATGTTTTGTTCTATGTCATGGAAGTTCATTGTCTTTAAAAGGTTTTAGTTCACTGTCTTTGAAGTAAAATGAGTGAAATAAATATTTCACTTAACATTTAGTCAGCACATTCGGCACTTCCATTACCTAAGAGGGGGTCGCAACTGGACCCCCTTGAGATAAGGGGGTGACCCCCTTGAGAAAAGGGGGTCGCAAAAACCCTGAAAATGTTCGAACGTGACGGTTGACCCTGGTTGGAATGCTTTGTGCATGCGCTTGCACTGATATCCCCTGCCTTGGTGTGCGCCACGCCTCGGTCGCACTTCTGATTCGCTGACTCATTTGAAAGCTCATTCAGAAGGAAGCGGCTTACAGATGCTCTAGCATCAATTATCTTGCGTAAACGTAATGTGGTGACTATTGTCCATGTTGTCTTAGGCAATACTCCAGCTACACTTTAGTTTCAAATGTGGTTTCGTGGGTGGACCCATGTCATGGTGGGAGCACTTTTTTGAACGATGCTACATGTCTTGCAGCTGCTGTTTCTGCAAGTCTTCCTTTCTCATGCTCTTCCTGAAACATGGTTATGATCAGTAGGGAGATTACCACAAATCCCACTGCCGGCCACCGAGAGAGTACGACCCCCCCCCTCCGGGTCCATCCAAGTACGACCCCCCGTTGCTACTTGTAGCAACATAGGGTTGACCCTGGTTCTGGGTAGGTTTTGGGCTGTGTCAACTGGTCTCAGAATCAAATAAGAATCAAATACTATAGAAGAGGGAGAGGTCGCGGTGGGGGAAGGCTGGTTGTATTGGGGGGTCGCAACTGGACCCCCTCGAGAGGGGGGATCGCAAAAATCCCGAAAATGTTCGAACGGGCAACGCTTTGTCCGCGTACCGCCCAGCGTGCTGTCAATTGTGCAACACGAATAGCCTTCTTACCCTGGGTAGGTCCTGATCCTGTATAGGTTCGCCGACCATGTAGTTGACGATGTGGCTGGCTCCACTTGCCGCTACATCATCAACCTTCAGATTTTCAGGATAGCTTACAAGAATTGAATACCGGTGTTTGCAAAGCATTGACGGGTTGTTAGGGAAAGAGAATTTGGCCTGTTACAAAGAGAGGTCAAGCGTCTGAGTGATCGAGACATGGCGCCTCTGCGGCAAAGAGCGCACGCGTTGCGAGAGCATGGCGTGGAGCCTGACTGCTTCGTGAAGAGTCCCCTCAAGGTCGCAAATTTGGACCATGATGACCTGGTGATTCGGGTTGCCGTCTATGGTGGTGAGAGAGTGTGGAAAGGTGGAGCAAGGGATCATTCCTATGACGCCAACACTGATGAAACTCGCTTCTACTTGAAAATCCAGAGAAACAAGAGCCACCTTTCAAGCCGTTCCCCTTACCATTAGATTTTCTTTACACCCGCATCTCTTAGCATCCCTACTTTCATACCCACCGGGTGACTAAATTCACGAATCAACTGCCTCTAACGCGTAGTCCCAATTATGTTAAATTTCAACTTTTAAGTGGCATATCTTTGAGGATAATATTTGAGTTGAATTCCCCATAGATTGTTCAACAGTATCGCATGTGAGTATCATGCTTCTCGGATCGTTCTGCTCCTGTGCAATCCAAATCCCTACTCACAAGGAGGGGCTACCATGTTCAAATAACCATGACCATTCAAAATATGCAGAATTGGTGTTCAGAGTCCATTGTAAACTCGTCATCGGGTACTTTCACGTAAACGACGTTCATGGGATCATTTTAGGAATTTTGCGCACAAAAGCATAGAAGTAAACCCGCAATGGGATCGATCTCATAAGCCCTTGCCCATGAAGCCGTGCCATTACCGTTGCGCTTCGCGGCTTCATAACTCTATAAAGAGTATCGTTTAGCAGATCATTCCGAAACTCATGGAAATTATCAAAACATACGGCATTCTACTTCGTTTCGGCTTTGCGAACCGCCAACATTTTATTGCTTAGAAGAAGAAGCTTACAGATGAACTTGTTTACTGTTACGAGCTAAATTTCAAATAATGTGTTCTTAGGAAAGACCATATCCATGCAACGCGGGCGCGGAATCGAAGTGACTGGCAAAGATCGAACTCCGATCTCCCAATTCTTACAGGTAGGAGCTGCGTTTTCTCTCACACTTTTTTTTCATTTTTTTCTTCTAAAATTTTATGAGTCCCTAGAGATTGCTGGCCTTTATTGCAGGATAACGTCGACAACGTCGTGAAGGTCTCAGTTCTCATCAAGATGGATGCTAAATTGTTCGATCCCTATACTTACTTGGACAAGGTAATTTAAAAATCTCCCTTCCCCCCACTCATGGACCATTCAAAGGTGTTGCTTGAGGTCTCTCCAACGCCTCACAAGTCCTTCCTCACGACCAACTACAATGCCAGAGTTAATAGTAAAGTTTGGAGAAGGCGATCGAGAAAGTGAGTTCAATAGTAAGTGAAATACAAGGAAGAATATTATATTATTTACATTTTCTATTTATTATCTGACTTTGTGGGTTCGAAAAACAGGCTGCAATCAATTTCCGTTGAAAAGTTTTTTGTAGCAGAGAAGGCAAAAACGAATCTCAAAACGGAAACGAGGCTTAGTAAATTTATAACTATTTTCCCTGCTAATAATCTGTGAGGGCGCTATCGGGGCAAGTGATGGCAGCGCATTTCAAACAACGTAAAACATCTCCTTTGTGTAAAAATCGAGACTAATGGTAAGCCTCGGGTGGAGAGGAAACACTGCAGCGCGTTAGCACTTTTCAATTCCCCGAAATTTCTGCCCCTCCTTGTTCCTTAAGGCCTGGTCTTAGAGGATGCCCCCATATCTTGCGATAGTACCGCCTGTGAGTGTTCTGAAGCCATCTCTTCTCTTACACCTCTGAAGCCATCTCTTCTCTTACACCATGTTCCATTTGCATACGAACGGAATCATGCTTGGAACGATTGCCATACCAAAACGAACATAATGAATCTAGACTTTCCACCAGAAAATCGAAGGACGAGAATGGAAAAATGAGTCGAAAGGAGAAAGTTGACTTTGAGAAGAAGTTTGCCGAAGTTATGGAGCAAGAAAGGGAGAAGGTCAGTTAATAATCTCTATGTCTCCCTATCTCTCTATTTAGTAATCTCTACATATTAATATCCTCTACCCGTTTATTGTGACAGATGACAACTGATGTGAATCGTCTCCGAGTTAACGATGCACCATCGCGACGTGGTTCTACTCAAACGATCCTCAGCCATCAACACGCGCCCGACCACGAGCACCTTTTCAAGAAAGTAATATTTTCCTCTTTCCTTCACTTGAAGTTCCAACTAGTACATCGGTTTGATAAAAGAACATATGAAAGGATTCCACTGATCAGGTGCAGCACAAATATCGTGCAAAATTGTCACCCGCTATGCGCGACAAAATTGTGCAGCTGATTCACGGTATATTTCAGCAAAAACACTATAATTTAAGGTGCACTGCAAGTGGGACAGGCACGCCGTTTCTTGAATACGGTAGGCCCAAAATGCACTTACGTGAAGGCACTGCTGCCCGCTGCCTTAGTGTCACGGAGTTCGTGAGCCAGGGAGCCAATTCAACGGGGGGAGTGGGGGGAGGGAAGTGAGGAAGTACTATAATGTGCTCCGAATATAATGAGTTACTCTCGTCACGTCATACCAGTGAGCAACCTACGCACATCCTACCGAATTCAGAAAATCGGCGTCCCACTAGCGATGAACAGAAGTTAGGACTCAAACATGGATTGGTATCATTCCCACGTCGTCCAGAAAAAAAGAGCCCGAAACTCTAAGAGAAGCACTCAGTGGGATCGTTCCTTCTTTCCTGGCAGGTAGGAGAGCTAGGATGAAGGTAGAGCAAGAGAAACTAACGCGTGGCAAAACGCTGTGGCAAAAAAGGGTGAATGGAGAAGAAACAGCATAAAAGACGAGTGAGACAGCAGATTCCACAACGGCCGGAGCACGTGGTTGCTGGAGGTATTCATGGTTGCAGGTTTAAGTCCTTAGCGCCCTTTGTGCGCGGTTGGGTTGTGAATATGGTCCGTATCTCTGTGATGCTCACTCACCAACCTTATCGGCGGGAGTAGGGCTCTAATGATCTTATCGTGGAATGTACTTCCGGTGAATTACCGCGCGGCTAATGGAGTCAGGCCTGCTCTGCGGACAGTATTCTGGCATAGATTGCAAGAGGGCTTAAGAGCACACCAGGGTTAAGCATCGATTCAAAAAACCTTGGAGAAGGTATTATTCTTTGATTCTAAGGAGATTGAACTTTTGGCGAGACATGGGAAGAAGCTGCTTTGCGAGGTTGGAGAATTTTTATGGAATCTGGAAAATTGTCGAAAATTTCGCCGTTCAAACAGTTATGAATAGGAAATCTCCTTTAACTACTTTCGTGAAGTTTTAGGGGCGGAGTTTTAAAGTGTGTGTCAGAATGAACCAAGCTCAACGACCTATGGACCCCATCAATCCTTAGCGACTTCAAAGAGAGGGAGAGGAAGGCAGGGCCAACCGTCGCGTTCGGACTTTTCCAAAAATTTTGCGATCCTCCCCCCACTCTTCTCGAAATCGCCAATGTGACCCCTCGTTAGAATTATGAAGGCGGACGGCTTACCCTGGGCGGAGATGGTTCAGTTGGAATTTCTCTCAATTACGATCCGTTCCCTGGTACATACACACAACATGAACTTAGTGAGTTGGAAATCTATCTGAAAATTCATTTTGAGAAATTATGTGGATAACCTGGCCAGTTAGGAATATATGCTTAGAGTGAGCCAGATCAGCTTGCGACGTCTGATTGAACTGGTAAATCGTACTCGATATTTCAACCTTGTTGCTAAGTTCGAGACTTGATATAGACGAGCAGAAAAACAGTGATTTCTAAGCTTTGATATGATCAATTTATAGCTGCTGATCAGTTGCTGTGAATCATGTGAACGGCGGAGAGCCTCATTCATGTACGATAGCAAGACAGAAGACGAAGCAGAAGACGCTGAGGTAGGAATGCTGTGGAAAATTTGAACGAGCCAAGAAAAGAAACATTTGATCAATTTTATCGCAGTACAAACATATCAATAACAAAAATCTCGTAGTCTACGCTTGACTAACTACAATGTGAGCGCGAATTCATTCTTTGATGAGCTTCTCAGCTGAAATACCCCGCTCCCACAGTGCTTGCTGAAGGCTCGACATTAGTTTCACAAGAATGCTGGGTTGTGAACAAAACTTTCGCCCCACGCGGGACTAGAACCCGCACCTCTCGCTTTTACACTCGCTGTCCTTAGTGTTTTCATAAATTTTAATGTTTTCAGGAAAGCGAATCTAGCGAAGAAGAGGAGGAAAAATGCTTCGAGTGTCGTGACAGCGACAAGGAACATGTGCATGATGTAAGTCTTAGATTCCATTACCGTAGTATTCCCCAAAAAGGGCACGTGGACGGATACCAGACAAGAGGCTCGTCGCGTGGCGAGAAGGCAGAGACGCATCGGTCAGAGCACGAGTCCCAGCGCGTATTGTGTGATGTAGGACAAACTATAGCACATTATTTTCAACGTGACGCTAATTCGCTATATGCGGCGCTGCTGAAAAGGCTAGTGTCCGACGGTCAGAGACCGGTTCCTATTGGAGGCGGGCAGAGGCACGAAGAGCACCAAAGGAGGGGCAAAGCGTCCTCTCCGCTGCCGGTGCACATTTGCCTCAAAAACGCCAAATTTCGCTAAGGCCCAGACTTCCTCTAAGGTAAACATTTCCCCTTCTTCAACACCCAAGTTATTGTGCCAGCTGTCTCTGAGCTACCCCAGAGTAGGGAAGGAGTTATTGACTTGAGCGTGACAAATGTGGGACACTGCACTTCCACGACATCAGTTCCGCTGCCTCATCGTCGCGCGTCTGAGAAACGAGCGAAACTAACCTGACTTTTTCTTTATTAGTCACTCGTTATCATTTCGTTATTTCTTGATCGATTTATTGATTCTTGATTTCGATTCATCGATTTTATCGATTGTTAATTTAGCTTCTTGCCAACATGTACTTCAACAAAATTGTTCTTCCTGGAATGGAGTACGTCGAGGATTTTGTCGATTTCCTTATCGATGCCGAACTCAATGACCTTCCAGTACTGAAACGGGCATGCGAGCGTTATCTCTGCGGCGAGCTAAATACCGTAAGCTACTTCTTGCTACTGATAGACAGCTTAGAACATCATTTTCCAACTTACGTTGCACATATTTATCACGTTTTTTTTTGCAGAAGAAAGACCTGCTCACTTCCCTTCTGCTCGATCTTCTGTTCATTTCTATTGTTTTCCAATTACCGGTAATGAAAAGCATGACGCTGTCCGAGCTATCTAACAGAACTGAGGAACTGTCTCAACCTGACAAACTGTTGGAAGACGAGGAGTACAAGTGAGACGTGCATTGATTACTAGAGTCAAAACTTCTTCCGAAGGTGGTCCGGAAGCACGCCAAAACTTTTTTGGTTACTGCCTTCAATAAATATCAAACAACAGTCGCGGTAAACAGGCGTGTTTGAGGTCGTCGGTGGATAAATAATGTACTACAGTCCCTCGCGCGCTGCGGTCTGGCGAGGGGCGTGGCCTAAGCCCTATTCACCAATGACAGTCACCCCTCAAACACGCCCCAATTTATCGCGACTGCTGCCTTTAAGGCTCCTTACATAGCCATTCGAACGTTATGAACTTCAGCAGCTCACCAAAACAAATCGTTTTCAGAGTGCTGGATAAACGAATTCGATCACTGTCCGACCGTAATCTTGTGGAACTGATCGAACAGTGCGTTGCCTTCGCTGAACAACGGAACAGAGTGCAAGTCATAGCACTCAGTGTATGACCACGACTTGACCACGACACTACACGAGTACCCACACATCTCCCAGCCTTCCTCAATCCACGAATGCGGATCCCCACACGGGACAGTTCCAACATTGTTAAACGAGTGCATTCATTTCCTGTATATTCGACATCACTTCTTTGAGGCATAGCCACTTAATAATTACATTGTATGCCAACTGATATTCAGGAAATTTATTTTAGCCAGTCAGCTATCAATCTTTCTTTTCGCATAATTACTTTATTGGTAAATTGTTTTACTCGATGCGATTAAATTTTTATCATTGAAATCTTGAACAAATTGGACCGGAGAGTATGCCAAACAGAATTGACAGGTCGATGTCAGACTTTGCGAATCGAGCAATTCGCTAGCGTCCGCGGTCGCGTCGCGTACAGCGAAGGCTCGGTTCCCTGTACGCGACGCGACCGCACGCTAGCGAATCGCTCGATTCGCAAAGTCTGTCATCGGCAATGCAGAAAAGAAACATGTGTAGAACCTATTCCATTGTGACTAAGAAGGTACCTGACATGAGGCCCGTCGCCGCACAAAGGCAGAGTCAGCGGACGAGTCGCGGTGCGTACTGTAGTGATTTACGTTAAAAAGGGAACGGAACGCTTTTGAATATCAACACAAAATCAGTTTGCGAGAACAACCCGTAGGAATATAGGCGAACCCATATTATTATGGAATTTACCATTGTACGTCCTACATTGCACAGCACGCAGTGCGACTCACCCGCTTCCGCTGACTATGACTTCATGCCGAGCGACGGGCCTCCTGTCATGTACCCATGACCAAGCACAGATAATTTCAGGCGTATTATACAAGGAAGTTAGAAGCGAAAGCAGTTATTCCTTGAAGAGCAGACGCAAACTGAGCGGAGAAGCCAAAGCGAAGTGGAAACGAGTGGTCAGTGACGAATGCGAGAACCATGTCGGCAAAAGCTCGAGGATCGCGCTCGACTTCACGACATCTGACAAGCCGAACGACAATCGCTGGGCACATCAGACGTGACTCCACCAGCGTACGCACGTGGCACAAGGCGACGTCGGTGGTGGAGAGGTCAAGCTGCTGAACACATCCCATGCTCATCCATTCAATGAGCGAATCGAAATCCGTTACACGGCATCCCACCATCGACAAACGGCGAAGGCTGGGCAACCACGTGGACTAAATTTAGCTCCAAGGATAAAAAAAAACGGTCTCCAAACAACAAGAAGACTTACAAATGTTGAACGTACCACAAAAACAACGCCACTAAGGTCACAACCATCTATTCGTAGGCTAGTGAGACTGTCGCATGATGACAATAAACGCTCCACGGCGTTTCCTCGAACAAAACTATTGAAGGATATATCCAATAGCTGAAGATTCGGCAACTCTGAAAAAACACATTCGATAGACCGATTCACAATTTAATTTATGAGCCACGTTGACACAAATTGAGTACGCATTGAACGCCACTTCACGGATTAAGGAGCGTTTTTGAGTCATCCGATCAAAAATTTCAACTAGGTGGGCGGAGTTCGGCTGTGATGACTGCTCTCAGATTTCAGAATTGAATACTATGGAATCGGCCACGACGGTGTGGAAGTGTAAGGTAGTGATCGGGATGTGGAGAAAGTAGTATTGGGGTGGAGCCTTTTAAGGCAGATGGTAGTGATGGAGGAGTCGCATCGAGAGCCCTTAAAGTAAGAGAGCTTGCAAAAATAGTGGAAAAGTGCAAACGCGACGGTTGACCCCGGTCCGGGCTTAGCCTCACTGAAGTAGTCGCTTCCGTGGGTAGAGGTCTATGATCCGTCACTTTAGAGGTCGATCACTTCCGTACATAAAAACGTGCCACTAAGACGCTAGGCACTAAGCACTAAGCACTTTGATCAAATCCCACCGAAACTATCAGAGCCCGCCCACCATCCAATATCTTATGTGTCGCATCTAATCTAATATGACCTCTAGTTCTATTATCCCCTCCGCGACTCACTTTATCTCCATCTCCTTGCCTGCCTCGTAGACTACTCCGCAGCGCAAAGTTAGAAGGCTTGTATTCCCTGTACTTCTGACAACTTTCCTTCCTCTTTCTCCTTTTGCAGTCTTCTTTGCATTCCTACTTCATCGTAGTGGAATTGCCGCATCAATTTTATTCTGATCCCTGTTTTTAAGCAAAGAATTCAGAGCAATATGACGCATTCACTCAACTCTCAAAGCAAGATTTTTCCTGTCATCGTCACGTTTTGCATTTCCCTAACGAGATGCCACGATAAGGTCGGAGGTTGAAGAAGAGAAGATATACCCAGTCAAAGTGCAAGCGGTCACTTGAAGGAGGCATTCCACTATAAGACGAAGGTCGAAGAAGGGGAAAACTGCCTAGTGGGAAGACAGGCGCGCACCTGAGGGTGTGCCTGTCTTCCCACTAGGCGCGTTGGCATTGAAGAGGGCACAGCGATGAAGTCGCATCAATGCTCAAATCAACGGGCAAGGAAGGGGTCCCATTTCTCGGGTTCTGGGCCGTTTCTCATGGTTTTTTCTTTCTGTACCACTCACCATCCCTACTTAATTTGAAATGGGTTGCTTTTCATCGTAAATTCTGTCCTTCAATACTGCGGAACGATGCGCATTTCACAGCGAAGAGAATGCCCTCAGTGACAGAGTAGAGCCATACCCGCGCCGCTGTCCACCTACCCTCTCGCCGTCTGAGTCTAGCTGTTAAGCGGAGAGCGCTAGCGCTAAAGAGGGCAACACCGGTGACAGTGGCATAATGTGGAGATCAACGGGCAAACAAGGGGCCATTTCTTAGGTTCGGGGGGGGGTGTCATAGTTTTTCTTCGTCCCAGCATTACTGACCACCTCTAACTCGAGTTCTCATGGGCTGCATTATCATCGTAAACTGCACCTCTGAGATAAATGTGACCAGCTCATGCAAAAACAAACCTAGCCTTGGTGCTGTAAAAACAGCAAAACTTCTCGCAGGTTATCAGTGTCACGACCTACTCGAGAACAGTACCTACCTACCTACTGAAATGTTAAGCAACAGTATTAAAAATCTCACCACAAATAGCCATGACAAGTGCTTCTTCGCCAACTTTTATTTCCAAGTCACTAATACGCAGTTCTGATAG